TATATATATATATATATATATATATATATAAAAAAAAGAGAACACAAATATTTATTCAAGGCCTGCACAAAGTAAGAGGAGAAGGGGGAAGATACACTTCCCACTAATTACATTGCCATAAATGCAAAATCAGAGGGGCATGTCTGTAACCCAAGTAAGGCAGATTGGGTTTATGAGAAGCCATGAAATACATTTTTCATCAAAGCAAGGAGAAGAGTAGGCTTTAAAAATTCCATGATAAAAGATTTGCACACAATTCCTTTCTTTTTTCTTCTGAAAGCTGGCAGATAAACTCTGAAAATAAAGAGGTTCTAGGCGACGTCATTAAGATGGACTTCTGAATGGTCTATCTTTCTTTATACACATACCTGTGCATTTACCTACCCCACCAAGGAACCCTTCCCATCTCTCTCCCTCCTCATTCTCCTCTATGGACTTATTTGCCTTGAAGTCCATTTTGCTCCCCTCTTCCTCCTCAGTACTCCCTCCCTATTCACTTCCAATTATCCATGAAAAAGTGATTTGGTCAGGAATTTTACTGACAAGATTTCCAGCGTCTTTCCTGGAAGTGTTGAGTACAGAGACAAGCATTACTCTTGAACATCGAAGTGCCTTCTGCCCTTTTTACCTTTTCAGGTCCTCCAGCTGACAAAGGACTCCATGTGACCACCAGTAGCTTTCACCTGAGAGATGAACTACTCATCTGTGTGGGCTGCCAGACTGAAAACAGGGAAAAGTGATCCAGTGATCCTAGAGGGTAAGATTACCTTGTGAGGATCTAGTGCAAGCATCTGCCAGGTGTATACATCAAGGATCTCCAGAAAGCTCCCTTAGCTGCTTTGCAGTGGTTACTCTATTATGAATGTGGCAAATCACTAGACAGCCATAGGATCTGAAATCTGCAGAAATCTGAGCAGAAAATAAATCACAGCCATGTTGCACCAGCCTTGGCAAAAAGTCTGGGGGTATATGCATTCTGTCACCTTTAGAATATTTTTTAGATCCTGATGTAATAAATTAGATCTTTTTTAATCTCTTGTTGCAATAAATGTCACCTACCTGTGATCCGCTGAGTACCTGAAGTATGATTATTTTAAACTTTGATTAGTTTTAAAATTCTAATAATCACAAATTGTTCCCATTTGACAAATGTTCTGTCTTTATTTTTCAATGAAACTTAAAATACTTTTTTCTTTCTGTCATTGTTTTTCACCAGTATCATGGTTTGTTTCATTAATGTCAGCACAACTCAGAAATGAGTTTTAGATGAGTTCAGCTGCTTTTGCTGACTAAATTTGCAGCAGCAAAGCATAAAGCATTTCAGGCTCCTCAAAAGCACAGTCTTTTTATTATTTCTTATTGAGAGACTGGTGGTCTAAAAACCAAATAGATACATAGATTTCAATTTGCTTTTTTTTTTTTTTTTGTAATTTTCATGCAGTGAGGGATTTCTGTGCACTAGAAAATTAGAATTTATATAGATTTTTGTCATTTGGCACCTGCAAAACATGCACAGTACCATATACAGCTGTTACAGTAACACGAGATTGTGCCTATAATGAAGAAATACAATATATCCAAACAAGCAATATGTATGTGTATATTTCATATATATGTGTGTATATATATAAAATATATATGTATGTATATATATCCATACATAAATGAAATATTTAGCAATAGGAGTTGATGTGGTTTGTGGCATGTGATAGTTCTACTGGTAAAATTAAATGCACATCACACTTTGTCTTCTCAGCTGTTACATGCTGCCTAGTTTTCAGTTTGGCACTGTCTAGGTATGCAGTCACAGATGGAAAGTCTGTACGTGTGACATGCTTTTCACCTGCCATGAAATGCTGAACTCCCTCTGTCATTTTGTATAATCAATTTGCAATTCATTTAGTTCTCACACGGGGTATTCCAAAATAACTCAGTAAAATATTTACTATTAACAGTAGTGGATTTAAAAGCTGTGAGAAAGGAATCCACTTTTAGAAGCTTTTATATGCTATAATTTCCAGATCTGTAACCTACAGCACAGGATGAGGGATTAAAATTATGCATGAGGTTCTGCATTTGAGTCTCTGATATGACTTTTATGTATTGACATCTGGAACAAAAAGGATTAGATGTATAATTTAATCCTATCAAAGACAACTATATTTTCCCTTTTCTACATTGTGTTAAATGCACAGA